AAGCCTTTAGCCTTCGGTGGATGTACGCCAGTCGCGCTGCTAATCTGTGTAAAACGATATTTTTTGTTCCTCCGCTTACTTTTTTTTTTTCTGTCGTGCAGCACTGCTATACAGTGATTTTGTGATCAGCACCTGCTGGCGTCACTGATCGAAAAATTTCAGTGTACAGTCGAGACTTAAATAGACTCAAAATAAGCCCAGTACGCAGCCGGTTTCCCTCCATTCACTGTGAAGACTTCAACACGTTCCGTTCGACTGTGGTGTTTCTATCTCGAATGAGTGAGTAGTCTTTCTGTGTTTTTATTTATGTTTCCCAATGCTACTTTCTTCTTGTTTTGGTTTAAGACAGCATAATGGAGTCAAATTTTATATCTTTCTTCGTGAGCCGTGGCTCCTTGTATCTGTATGTATACTCTCAGGTTAGCGCGTTTGTCTGTTTAGTGCTCAAGAGTACATATGACTTGATCATCGAGAATAAATTCAAGCAGCATTTTTGTTGGTTGTTGGCGGTGGCAAAAACATGTGCAAATGAATGTTGCGCATTCATTAATCCATGTTTTTGTTTTGGTCGCGGCGTCGTCGTGCAGGGAGGACGAGCTCCAGTTTTCAAGTCGAACATCGGCCAGACGCCCCACAATCGCCATTCGTGTCAAGACTTCATTCAATACATCTGCCTCTTTCCTGCGGACTACGGAAGATGGAAGGAGAGTGTAGTTGGCGTGGAGAACAGAACATTCATTGTGATAAGTGAGAACGCCCCAAGCTGAGTCAGCATAAGATTTTCCGATTTGTGTCATGACCGTGAATCCGCTTGCTCAGGACTCCGCCTGCAGGGTTCGGAGCAAGCCGCAGACAACCATAAGCTTCGCCTCTTGCAGCCAGCGGCCAAAATATAACATGCAAGATAAATCTTGCATTTTAAGACCCACGCAGAAACATCACAACCACATACAGCTGTAAACCATACAACGATGTACCAGGTAAGAATAAACAAGGGTGTTTGTGACCAAACCCAATCTCCAACCTTAGCCGTGAGCGACCTTGTTGAGGTACATCTATACAATTGTTCACAAGTCTGTGCTCCGCACAGCAGTGCAAGAGATGGGGGGAAAACCTTCCACTTCCTTCGGCGCCGAAACATCTACAATAAATGCTGTAACCACACCAGCCATAAGCTAACAATACCGTAGGTGCGGGCGACCAAACCCAACCTCTACCTCCAGCCCACCACCCTTCCCAGACCTGTCGTTTCTGAGAAATCTATCAAGAAGCCCTCGTTGCCATCGCTGTCGTGTTGTTGGCAATAATACGTATTGACTGCAGTGCTGTAGACACTTGTTGGGGCTTTCTTTAGGCCTCCTGCTCTTGCATCGCCGCCTTCAAGCGCGACCTGTACACGTTCCTAGGCTTGACTCCCTTCAGGGTGTCAAGCATCGTCTTGTCGCGGAAAATCTGCCGGAAGAGTCACGGAGGAACGGGGGAGACACCCAGAAAAAATTGCAAGGAGCGGCACGGCGAGAGGGGGACCGCAAAATCAGGGAAAAAACGTGCGCATACCGATGAAAATGCAGCTACGCTGGCATGGCAAGGGTGGGATCACCGTTAACGTCACTGCCACCGTAATAGCCCAAAACCAGCCTACCGCCAAGATTAACGCCGTGCATCATTGGAAAGCGATTCAACTCTTCACGATTCATGCACACGGTGTAGCAGTCCACGAGAGGCTCTGAAAACAATTTTTTTGACAAAAGTGGTTTTTGTCAACCGCTCAGTTCGCACACGTTCGCTACGCAGCTTGCCCGAAACGAAAAGGAAGAGCGGGAGGGGGGAGTGATCGTCCGTTATCGACCCTGCTAACCCCTCCCCACCACCTACATTTCCCGCGCCCGCTTCCAAGAGTTTCGTACACGATGAGACGTTGCGCATTTAAATAGTAGCGCACTTGTGCTGATGAAGATAAGCACACATCTCAACATGTTTTTTCACCTGCACGGTAGGAGTTCCGGTGATGCCGGCATTCTGCGCGATGTCCGGAGACTCGGTGATGTCCACCTCGACAAAGTGGATGTCGTCGGCCATCTCGTCCACTACTCTCTCCAGCAGCCGTCCCAACGCCTGCGGCGGGTTGTGGGCGGCGGCGGTAAATCATGGAAGAGGTGCAGGTGCCCACAGAGCGTTCATCGCAGTGGGGCCACGGGAGATGAAACATACGAGACAGAAGGGGCGACGTGGGATCATACCAANGAAGAGGTGCAGGTGCCCACAGAGCGTTCATCGCAGTGGGGCCACGGGAGATGAAACATACGAGACAGAAGGGGCGACGTGGGATCATACCAAGGCGGGGCGAGGGGTGGGCGGGGGGCGGGGGAGGGGTTGCACCGAACGAGGCGGCAAGGACGGCGACGTGGCATCCATTACCGAGGCTGCACATAGAAGAAGGTGCATAGAATAAGGTGCATAGAAGAACGTACGAAGGAGATGAAGCGGATATCCGGAGAATTGCGACATTTCTCTTCGATTTCCTGCACCTCCAAGACGTATCTTGCAAACAGGAATCCGACAGGAGGTTTCGTGCCTACACCCCTCACCACGACACCGTGCCCGAAGACCATCGATTTTGGTCCGAACACATTGCCCTCAAGCATGAAGGGCACTAGCAACAGCAGCACCAGCATGAGCAGCAACAACAACGCAGGCGGTGAAAACAATACGATGTGCATGTATGTATGTACTACGTACCTTACACGGCCCGCAGGTCGGGCTGATGTACTTGACCAGGAGAGGTCGGTCGCTCTCGAAGTCTGTCGCCGAGAAACGCACCCAAGGCGGGGATATAGGTGAGGGAGACACCATCAACCGAACAGACCAGAGAGGTGGGTAAGGTCACGCGCGATGGCTAGGACAGGGCAAAGGGTCTTCTTCGTATTCTAGGTGTGTCTCCGTGCGCCTTTGTTGTACGGCGAGGGCGTTTTTCGAGGTGTCAAATAGTAACGCCACAACAGAGCAAGGCTCGACCGGAGCAGGAACCACGAAAACGAAATCCGCCCGAAACTTCGTCCGGTTGTCGCACGTGCACAGCTCGGTGGAGGGGGCTGGATCCGGAGATAATCTCAAAGTCACCGCCCAACAAAAAAACAAGCAGCACGCCGGTTTGCCGCTTACCACACGCCAGAGAAGGTACCACTCCACAAGAAACAAGAAATGATAGCAATTGCTCCCCAAGGTTCTACCCAGTCCAACCTCGGTACAACACACACGAGCGCAATCCTTGTTGCTCGACCAAGGAGAAGACGACCGGTCCTATCCTTACATAATCGTTGGTACGCGTACGCCCCGCGATGCCTGGTCTCTTCGATCTCGAACGTCTTCAAGTTCTCCACGACCGGCTGGTTGGATGAAAGATCCGTCGTGGTCGGTCCAGCCATGGTCGTTTCATGCGCGATCGGGGCGCGGGAACATGTGATTCGGGTGGGAAGATGTCGGGATACGTAAAGATCACTATCGCGCAGTGGCTTCCACTGTTGATCACCAACTCGGGGTACAGCAGAAGCCGAGTGGCGCGGGAAGGAGAACAGAAACACACATGTATGCAGAGAACGCGCGAACAAAACAAGCCTTCTAGGCCCCAAACTAGCTCATTGCCCCTTTCTTGCACCAAGATATGTTCACGAGGCACCACACAAAAGTGTGATGGGGAGACCCCAAACAACTAGGGGTAAAGGAAACATCTCCTTTTCATTTGCTTGCAGCCAGATATTCTCAAGTCTCTTGTCACAAAGCTCGCCCAAAAGACGGGCATGATACGAAAGAAACACAAATTCCCGGTTGCGACGCAGCCTTCTCCTCGCGGTCCTTGACGGGCTTACGCCTTACACAGGGACCAACCACTACCGTTGTATGTTCTCATGCACCCATCTGCGTCCACGTTCACGATGGCGGCCCTTTTCCTACTTTTTTTTGCTCTTTTCTAGACGAAAAGACAGGCATCGTACGCGGGAAAAAGCCGCCAATTTTCTTGGGTGCGAACGAGCCCCACCTTCTCCTCGGGCTCCTTGACGGGCTTAGGGCGGCTCTTCTGCCTCTCCTGGTGCACCTCTCTCAAGACCCCCTTCGTTGCCAGGTACCTCTCCGCCGCCAGGGCAGCCGTGCACCCGCTCCCCGCCGCCGTGATCGCCTGCCACGGAACGAGGGGGACGGGGGGCGGGCGTACCCTTATGCTTTGCATGCCTTCGTCGTTAGACCATTGACCACGAGTCCTCGAGAGGACGGGGCGTTGCTCCCACAGGTCCGATCACCGATGGCCAGTCGTTCCTTCCTACAGCGGGGGGTGTACTTATGTAAACGCATGCCCTGGTGCCGGACAAAACAAAAACACATTTCTTGTACAACACACACCACCCTAGACCATGGAGTATAGAAGCGTTCTCCGTTGTTAGCGGCACTGACGCCTTTTCATCGGTGAGCCGGTTAGCGCGATCGATGCTAGTAACATAGACACACACACAGATTTGCGTATTTTCATTGGGCAGCCAGTAGGCTCGGTCCATGCTAAAATGAGGACACAAGACCCACACAGCGGTGGGCTTGGTCGATGCTAAAATTGAGACAAGACGCACACAGCATATTCTGTTTCAAACGCACTGAGGCTGACCTATTTTCATTGGCCAGCCAGTTAGCGCGGCCCATGCTAACAATAGAAACACCCACACACCTGTCGCCACTCTCTGTCCTGCACGTCCCCCGCCGCAAACACGCCTTCCACGTTCGTCTCCGGCGTCCCCGCCTTCACCTTTATGTACCCCTGCTCGTCCAACTCTATTTGGCCCTGGGTGGCATCAAAAGACAAGGTCGATGAATGGTAGAGGCGGAGGCCGACCGATGAGATCAGCGAGAGTAAGGGAAAACAAGCTCCTTCGGATTCCAGGTTGAACAAGAAACACACCGGGGCAGGGAGAGACTACCTTGTAGCGGAGGGTTCTTTCCGGCTTAGGGCTTAAAAAACCATGGACACGAGGAGGCCAAACAGAGGAACACATGTTAAGAACAACCGACCCAAAAAAACAATAGCCAACGAACACCGTTTCGCGCGTTCTTCGGAGGATGGCGGTCGACCGTGCGTATACTGCAAGGCACAGACGGTCGAAAGCAACAAAAAGCTAACAACGGGAATGAAAAATCTGTTTCGTCTCTCGCCGAATCACTGCAACAGCAACAACAACAAAACGGCTCATTTTTGTGTTTTTTCCTCGCCGACTCACCCCCAAAAGCTCCGTATTTGGGCGGTGTCCGATTGCGTAGAACAGGCCCCGAAGCGGCACTTCCGTGCTCTCATCGGAGGAGGTTTTACGCACCCGCACGCCAGTCAGAGGCGATCCTCCGTCGGGGCTGGTTTCCTCGGTTTCTCCTAGCACGTCCTCCACGATCGTGCCCAGGTGCACTTCCACCTTTCGCATGAGGGGGGGAGGGGGGGGGG